TTGCTTCACCCACAATTTAAATTGTACCAAAATTCGTACACAATAGTATGAATTTCCAAAACCTCTTTTTTACCCCAAACCACACATTGATCCTAAATCCAAGTCTCAGGATTCCAACACTATCGGTTTACCCACAATCCAAATTGTACAAAATTTAGTACACAGTAGTACCAATTTCCAAAACTTCCTACATACCCCAATCCTACACCTCCACAGTGATTCTAAATCCAAGTTTTAGGATTCTAAATCTATCGGTTCACCCACAATTCAAATTGTACCAAATTTAGTACATAGTTGTACCAATTTCCAAAACTTCCTACATATCCCAATCCTACTCTCCCACAGTCATCCTAAATCAAAGTTTCAGGATTCCAACTTTATCGGTTGACCCACAATTAAAATTGTACCAAATTTAATACAAAGTAGTAAGAATTTCCAAAACCTCTTTTTTACCCCAAACGAACACCCCCACAGTGATCCAAAATCCAAGTTTAATGATTAAAACTCTATCGCTTCATCCACAATTTACATTGTACCAAATTTAGTACACTTAGTACAAATTCCTACATACCCCAACCCTACACCCACACAGTGATTCCAAATCCAAGTTTCAGGATTCTAACTCTATCGGTTCACCCACAATCCAAATTGTACCAAATTTATCATACAGTAGTACCAATTTCCAAAATTTCCTACATACCCCAATCCTACACCCCCATACTAATTCTAAATTCAAGTTTTAGGATTCCAACTCTATCGGTTCACCCACAATTCAAATTGTACTAAATATAGTGCATAGTAGTACCAATTTCCAGATCTTCCTACATACCCCAATCCTACACCTCCACAGTGTTCCTAAATCAAAATTTCAGGATTTCAACTCTTTCGGTTCACACACAATTTAAATTGTACTCCCTACATATCTCAATCTTACACTTCAACAATGATCCTGACTCCAAATTTCATGATTCTAGTTCAATTGGTTAACCTAAAATTCAAATTGTACCAAATTTAGTACCCATAAGTAATAATGTCTTAAACTGAGTTCTGACCCCAATCCTACACCCCTACAGTGATCCTGACTCCAAGTTTTATTGGTCCCGCTCTATCGGTTCACCCAAATCGAAATTGTACCAATTATAGTACGATTTAGTACTTTTCGTAAACATAAGTAACAAATTTCCAAAACTACGTACATATCCCAATCCTATACTCCGACGGTAATGTTAATATCAATTTTCAGAATTCCAGCTCGATTTGTACCTCTAAATTAAATTTGTACCAAATATAGTACTATATAGTACTTTTCGTACACATGAGTACACGGTTTCAAAACCATCTCCTTATATCGACGATACTTCCCAACCCTAATTCGCATTTCAATTTCCAAGTTTTTAGCTTTACATGCTACAGAATTGTACCAAATTTAGTACATTTACGTACTTTTCGGATAGTTATAGTCCGAATTTCCAATAACCCTTTGGTACATCTATCCTACACTACATCATCGACCACCAAACCAAATTTCAAAGTTCTAGTTCCACCGGTTCGCCAAATACAAATGGCATCACATTTAGTACGTTTTAGTACTTTTCGTACCGTTCTAGTACGAATTTCCAAAAACCCATCCTTATCTGTCACATTTGGACCAAGAGTGACCCTCACCCAAAATTTCAAGATTCTAGCTTCAGCTGTTTCGTCTGGTTACATCAGTCAGTCAATCACTTCACTCTTTATTAGTATAGATTGTAGGGTATTTCTTGGTCGGCCAAATCCGAGTAATATATTATTTTCTCATTCTATTTTATTTCATATATTCATTTCACAATATTCCGTTTTCTTCATTCTTCTAATCTGTTTTTGATTTTCTTTTCATGTACGTACGCATATAATATTGGTTGGTCCTGTGTGTATATGGATGGCATCGCTGCTATTTTTTTTTCGTTTTTGTGTGAAAATCTTTTGAATAATGGCCATAATGACGCGTTTTCCGACTGGCACACGCTTTCCCCACACACTCGCTCACTCCTGCCTCCATCGTTCGGAAATAAACAACGATGAAAAAATCTGTCTTTTAATGATGATGATGCTGCTGATCATTGGGTCTTTGATGTATCGTTTGATTTTTTTGTGCTGTTTTTGGAATAATGCGATGGACTTGCTATGAAAATGGGACATTTCCATTGCATTTTTTGTTGTTGTTTGTTTTTGGATTGCTTCGTTGTGTGAATGACGTGAACGAATGAACAACAACAACAAATGGTTTTTTTTTTTTTTGCTGCTGATGATGACGATAATGATGCGGCTGCTGCTGCCACCACCACCACTGAAATTTGTGGATTACTAAATGTAGCTAAAAATAGAGAAGACTATATTGCCAGTCGTACCGAAATAGCACCACTAACACCAGAGGCATCAGCAACAACAACAATAGCCACATTGACAGCCAAGAAATCCATCTCATTGCCGGCCACACCAAATCTATCCCAGCTAAGAAGGCATCCCATACTTGCCGCTTCCAACTATAGGCCATTGTATGACGACGATCTGCAACCTCCAACGGGGCTGTTAACCGAAAATTCCTCCAATCCCATGCCGTTGACATATGACCAGTTAAGGGCCGCGGAACACCAAAGACAAATAAATTATCCATGTCGTTTTGCTGGCTCTGCCTCGGCCAGGGCCTTGGCCAATGGTGGCGGCAGTGATCCTCATCAGCATCACCATCATCACAAATCCATGGTGTTGGTGAATCATGCAGGATATTATGACAATGGTGGCCACCTTGCAGCAACAACAACATGTGGCCAACAACAGGCTCACAATAACAACAACAATGCGGCCAGCATGTGTGCCAACATGGTTGTGGGGTCTGCGGCGCCAACAAACAATCAAACATCTAACGTGTATGGTTCAAATCAAATGAGAGCGAATTTCAAACAAAAATCTCAAAATCCACCACGACCCAATAATGGAGGTGGTAGTGGTGGTGGATTTCTACGCTGTGAGCATTGCTGTGAGCGTAAAAATAATGGCCAAAATGAGTCGGCTCTGAAACACACCTCATCCTACTCGGCCATGTACCAGCCATCCGATACGGAAACAGTCTCTGAATTGTCGTCGTATCGCTTTGTAACGGATGAAGATTTGGAAATTGGAAATCACAAAAATTGTTCGCCATCATCAGCAGCCGCAGCCATTGACGAGGCCCAACGAAGAATAAGGCAAACGAAATTGTCGCAATCATTGTCGTCGTCCGCGTCGTTAACGCCCTCGAATGTTGTGTCGTCGTCGCCGTCGGTGCCGCCATCATTGTTGTCGTGTCGTGTAAAAAATTCCGACGATTTTTGTAGAGAATCAAATAACGATTATTTGACGAATCAACACGAACTCTATAATTGTAATAATATTAATAATAATAACAACAACAACAATAATAATTATAATAATAAAAATCAAAATTATCGCGAGAAAACGGAAAATCGGAACGCGGAACAGAATGTGGAATTAAGGCATAAAGTGGAAAATGAAACAAGTAATTGTTGTTATAGCATTGATAAGTCCCAAAGTGATAAAGTGATCTACTATCAGGCCTTTGCCGTAACCGAACCTGTGCAAATACCCCAAAGAGGGACAACAACAGCTCCAACTGAGGATCAACAAGAAGATCTACTTTCATCCTCTTTGCCGCGTAACTATGGCAGTGATGTGGATGGTAGCTCATTTGCCCGCCAGCTGTATTTAAGACAAAGTTTAAGATCCTATCGGAATCAGGGCCCGCCACCGGTACCACCCAAACCCCCAGCCGAGGATAATAATAACGACACATCCTCCACCTATGATCCGCAAAGGTTCTATCGAAAATTACAGCGTTTCGAGAAACAAAATACGGTTATAAATCAAACGTTAAGTCGTGAGAATTTACGTTCCAATGCCGAACGTTCCATTACCCCGGAACGTTGTGAACTTTTGAATTGTTTTCCCAGCTATCGGAATCGGGCGAATCTCGCCAAAGAAAAAGAGGCGGAATATCAAAGTTCACAAGATAATTTTAATGAATCACCATTAAATGGTTCATATCCTGGCTATACCAACCTTCCCCAGCCTAACAGTTATCTTAACGAACCAGCCACCTATGTGGCCACAAGTCCTAAACGAACTTTACGATATGATCATCATGGTCGCTTGAAATCCACACATTTCGTATCACAGCTTCCCATTACAACGGGACAAAAGCGGCGGAATTCATTGGAAAATGAAACAGGAGGACCCCAAAGGGCCTATAGTTATACACCCATAAAATTAACCCCGACATTAACGCGTAAATTTACCTATACACCGAAACATACGATAACCGCGGAATTAACCGAAGTCAATGAAGATGAATATGAAAGCAATGAGAAATTACAAAAGAATCATGAAAATACAACGATCTCGAGTTTAGTGAAATATGAAAATCACAAAAACCCAACACAACAACAACAACAAAGTGAAAAATTAAAAGAAATTGAAAAATTTAACGAAAGTGAAAAAACCTCTCACAAAACAAAAGAAAATCAAATTGAAAATTTCGAAAAAATCCAATTAGAAAATAAAGAAGTGCAAAAACAAAGTGAACCGCCAAAAGAAAATACATCTCTTCCTCCAAGACCCACACCTTTAAAATTAAATAATACTTCTGCTGCTTCGCCACAATCTCCAATATCGTCGAGTACCTCATCGCCCACACATTTACTGCCACCGAAAAAATCTCACTCCTCACCGTTGGTATTACAACATCAGGAACAACCTTCAAGTCCTGTGTGGTTAAGTTCCGAAACCATTGCATCACAAACATCATCCACCCAGCGTAACTATTTGGATGAAACTCAATCGAATTGTAGCGATCAAACGACAATATTCCACTTTGAACCGGATAATACATCACCTTCGGCATCATCGTTGCTGTATGGTTCGGGTACTTCGCCGCTGGTGAATGGCCATACCTCCACTGTTGGTAGTGGTAATTTTCTTAAAGGACCTCTTTTAATAAGACGTTTACCGGCCATACAATCATTTGGTTATATTCCAACACATTCATCATCGCTGGGCAGTGCCAATGTGCGAGAGTACATTGAAAAAGAGGTAAGTCGTAGAGAGATAAGACAGAATGTTTAGAAATATATAAAAATTAAAAAAAAAATCTCAAATGAAAAGAGGATAATATCGTGAAATATAAAAAAAGTTTTCCCAAATAAATATAAATTTATGTTCTATATGGACTAATTTTTAACAGGAGGTAGAGTCACAGAAAATTTTCAGGATAAACAGTTTTTTTATATAGACTATGGAATATATCTTGAGAATTGATCTTTATTACTTAGTCCCGATTTAGGCAATTTTACTTGCAGATATTTATAATTTTTTGGTGAGTGAGGCGAAGGGCTGGCATTCCACCAACTCTCTCATCTACAAATTGCACAATTGATGCAATTAGGACGTTTTTTTAAGTTATATGAACTCTTCTTGGTCAAAGATATTTTATTAGAATTTCTTCATTCATACCATTCCATTCATACTTTAGATGAAACATTCTTGACAAAATTATTTTCTTTAAGTCGTCCTTGTTAAAATCAAATTTAGGAACTTTTCTTAAATCAATGATAATTTATAGATTATAGCAAACCAAATAAGAACTTTTTTCATGAAATATAAATTATGAATGTTTTATTTGAAATTGCATTGGTTTATATTGCTGCTGAAGTGCAAAGACTCTCCGCATCCTTACATTTATTTAATAAACCCTTGTTCTAACATTTATGAACCGTTAATTGTTTTTAGGAACTTTCTATGAACTTTTTGCATACATTTTCTTTGTAAGAAAATGACTAGGGTTGTGTCTCTTCGGAACGAATTAGTTCAACTAGATTATTCCGCAAAAGGAACTATCGGTACAAGATCCTGTTTTTTCGTTCATTTTTGCTTCCCAATAACGCACTACCTTTTGCTGCAATTCATATGCATTTTCTAGTTCTTTTAATACAATCAGTTCATCTCTTATACCATATAACAGACAGGTTTGAATATTTTCCAAATACGTAACTACTCCCTAGCGTATTTTAATGAACACGAGCTACTAAATTGACCGAATAAACTGAAGTGTTCTTTTTATTTCGTTATTCTAGTTCCGTTTACTAAAGTCGTGAATTATTGCTCAGGTTCACCTAGTTACTTTGGTTCCAATCTTTTATCTAGATGAACGAGAGTTCATTGATTAAAATTCATGATTAAATGATAACCGATCTAAAAAATTCAGAGTAATTTCGTTATACCTTTCGAATGGGTTAAGCTTTAGTGGTTCCCCAAACCCTCTGCAAATTTACACAGGGCGACGCGTAGAAAAAATTATATACATGATTTGTTAAAATTATATATGAGAAATATTTATACATTTTTCATTAAATATGAGTAAAAACACCTCAATAATTATTCCTCAACATTGTATCCAAATATCTCCAAAATTTTGCAGAATTTTAAATAAAAAAGGTACAAATGTACCCAGTTATAGATCGTAGGGTTAAAACATGTACAGAGGATAGTGTTTATGAAATTGTCATACTTTTTCTTTGGAGTTTTAATTATTGTTTATAAAAGTTCATTTTTTGGCTCATTTTGTCTTACAAGTATGAAACAATTCATAGTTTTTTTTTGGCAAGTATTCATAAATGTACACAACATTTTAGGAATCTTTATATAACTTTTTAGGAACTGTTGATTTACTTTCTAGTAACTAATTTTAATGTTAACACTAGAAAGACTGGAATTTTGTATATACCTATATTGCCTAAAATCGGTCGAAAAGACATTTTTTACCTTATTTTTTAAATTATTTACAATCATACAAAACGTTGTTATTATTTCGGTGAGAGGGCTCTAGAGTTTCCCTCTAGAAAAATAAGAGTGCGCACAAAATGTTCGATAAAGAGTAAGTGTTTACTCTAAGAGTGAAATCGACTGTTAAGCAGCTACTATGAATAATAAACGTAGTTCTATGTGGTACAAATGTCACCAAATTTTAAAAAGCTGTGTTATAATATACACAATTGTTTTTCGCTACCTAGTGTTAAATAATGTAATTTACTATAACAAGTACAACAACATTTCAGTTTAAGAACTTTTCTTTGTTTTTTACGAACTTTTTTCGTTATTTGTAGAAACTTTTTCTTAAAAAACTCTATAATTAAATATTTCATATGTGTAATGTTTATTAACTTTTATCATAAGCAATGAAACATTTTATAGTTTATTATGAAATATTCATAAATATATAATACTTTAAGGAATATTTTTCTTACTTTCTATGAACTATTCTTTTTTATTAAATTGCTAGAAATTTTTCTTAAATCTTACGTTAATGCTAGCAAATGATTCGTTAGAAACACTAGCAAATTAGAAAGTAAAAATCCAAATAAGAACTTTTCTTTATTTCTATGAATTATTTTCGTAATTTAAAGAAATTATGTCAACAACAACTTTTATAAAACAACTAGGAAGAATTAATTAATTCATAACACATTGTAGAGGTCAGGAACTATTCTTCTCACTTTCTAGGAAGTATTCTTAAAACTTAAATTTAAGTTAGAAAAACATCACTTAGATGGTGTAATTTTTTGGAGAATATGTTAAGATGGATGTCTTTGTATGTAAACTTGTCTTTGTTTTTATGAATTTGTTTCTTAAAATATATATGAACTTCTCATTATAAAAACGCCATTATTAATTCTTTTCATATATAAATAGAATGTTTAGGTATCTCGTATGCTACAACAGAACAAGGTCTCTATCTCTGAACTAAAAATGGACTGGACCGAAAATGCAAATATGGATTAACATTTTTAAAGCATTATCTAGCATGATTTACATATTTTTTCGTGTGCTCAAACTAATTGCTTTAGCATTTTTTCACTCCGTTTGAGATATCAGCATAACATGTTCTTTGATTGGGTGCGCTTTTAGATTGATATGGTAAATAGCCATCATATTCGCGTATCCAATTTAATGATAAGTCTTCTCTTGTTCGTTTTGAAAATTTCTCAGACGACTCCAGGCAAACAAGTTGTGGTGTAAAAGTCAGATCATGATATTCCTACACTGACCAAGAAGAACGGTTGTCACATGACCACTTCTGCTGAAGAAACTCGCTACAGACTCGCTACAGACGGACAGACGGACGGATGGACAGACGGACGGACGGACATGTATAAATCGACTCAGGAAGTGATTCTATGCATATTCTCAAAAGGAACCATGTGTCTATCTCGTTTCCTTTTGCCTGTTACAAACATATGCACAAAGACATAATACCCTGTACTACAGTGTAGTGAAGGGTATAAAAATGTGAATATATCGGAGTCGGAGTAGGTGTTTTTTCCACTCAATCGTAGAATTATAGGCTGATAATAGTAATAATTTAAAGATCTATAAGCTCTGTTTTACAATATCCAAATTTGCATGTAATAATGAATACATCTTTTATTGAATCAATGTCCGCAGGATTCTCCCTCCTTTTATTTGTGTATGAAAAAAATCAAATTTCAATTATCATAAAAACATTATTTATCAAAATAAAAATCTTCGACATTGATTGAAATGTGCATTGTGCACGATTATAAAAATAATTGAGTCAATTTTTGTATTCTAAAGAAAAAAAATGCAAATAAAATTGAAAGACAAATGACTCATTGTTAATTCTACTCGTTCGCTGTGGCACTTGAAATTGCAACGAGCCTTTTTGTGGCACTTCTCCTTCAGAATACGATAACCTTTGAACGGTTTATTCATCTCATATCCAGAGTAGTGTTTTATTTTCGAAATAAAATGCAAAATTCATGGCATTCGGCTTTTATTTTGAAATACTGTTGTTGTTGCTTTTTTAATATTGAAAATTAATGTAATAATACCGGCGATGTATCAACAAGAAACTGACTACGAAAAATTATTGGCTTTCATGTTTGTCAGAATGGATTCGTTCTTCCATACGGATGTGGAAAATAGACAGATAAACAACAGCAACAACAACAACAACCGACAGACATATTGATGTCCATCTTTCATGTGGCACAGTACACACAGTATATCGTGCCGGATATATGTATGTATACAATATTGGAACATATATGTATGTAGGTATTTGGATGCTGCTTGGTTGAAAATTTCATGTCCGCAAATAACATATACAAATACATATGTATGCGTGTAACAGCTTGTTCAGCAACAAATTTCAATTTTTATTGATTTCGGAATATTTACGACCTGTTCTTTTGTTGTTGTTGCTGTTCTGCCATTATTCGAATCGATACATTTGCGTTCGACTGTGGAAATTTATTTGCTTTATTTGTGTGTTTTTTTCGGTTGTGGAGGGGTGAGAGTATGTATGCAAAAAATAAATACACATACATACATATATGATGAAATATGTATGCTAGTGTTATTAAGGTGGGTCGTGAGAGAGGTCTATTTCCTCAAAATATTGCTATATAAAAATATTTAAAGACGGCTGGTCCAAATTGGGGCAGACATATCAATAATCATTATATTAGGTCTAAAGAACCTAACAAATTTCGAAAAAAGATCTTCAAGCTCATTGATGGTACCTCGAAATTTTATATCCGCCAGACCATATAGTCTATATATTTTACTAGATCTACTTTTTTCCATAAAAACATTTTCATAATAACATTCCAACCTGACCTCACCCCATCCGACCCACTTAACTGTTCCACTACACCACTTCTCCACATTAAGTATGAGTGTGTGTGTGTATGCGCGCATCTCTCCCCCATGTGTGTGTGTGTGTTTATTTTCCGAGTTCAATATACATTAAATTCAATATTTCGAAATAATATATATTTTATTTGCCTTTCGTAGCTATCCGAACATCTCTCGTAATTTCACAAAAAAATATTTATATTCCATTGTTTATTATTGTTATTGTTTTAAATTTAGTTTTTATAAACTACTTGAACTCAATTTATGTGCAAAGATAGAAAATGCAATTATCCGCATACACACACAGCCAAACAAATACACACACACACACACTTGCATAGCAATACACTCATGACTATAAACGCAATACAATGTTT